TTTTGGGACATTTTGGGGGTCAAATTGGGGATTTTGGGGCATTTTGGGTCAAATTTTGGGGATTTTGGGGCATTTTGGGTGAAATTTTGGGACATTTTGGGGCAAATTCAGGGGATTTTGGGTCACTTTGGATTCAATTTTGGGGATTTTGGGGCATTTTGGGGCAAATTCCAGGGATTTTGGAACATTTTGGGTTGATATTTTGGGGATTTTGGGTCAAATTTGGGGATTTTGGGGCATTTTGGGGCAAATTCCAGGGATTTTGGAACATTTTGGGTTGATATTTTGGGGATTTTGGGTCAAATTTGGGGATTTTGGGTCACTTTGGGTGAAATTTTGGGGATTTTGGGGCATTTTGGGGTGAAATTTCAGGGATTTGGGGTTCAATTTCGGGGATTTTGGGACATTTTGGGTTCAATTTCAGGGATTTTGGGGCATTTTGGGTGAAATTTCGGGGATTTTGGGACATTTGGGGTTGAAATTTTGGGGATTTTGGGGTCAATTTCGGGGATTTTGGGGCATTTTGGGGCAAATTCCGGGGATTTTGGGGCATTTTGGGTTGATATTTTGGGGATTTTGGGTCAAATTTGGGGGATTTTGGGTGATTTTGGGTGAAATTTTGGGGATTTTGGGGCATTTTGGGTGAAATTTTGGGGATTTTGGGGCATTTTGGGTGAAATTCCGGGGATTTTTGGGTCAAATTCGGGGGATTTTGGAGCATTTTGGGGTCAGATTTGGGAAATTTGGGTCACTTTGGGTTCAATTTCGGGGATTTTGGGGTCAGTTTGGGGGATTTTGGGACAAATTTGGGGGATTTTCGGGTGTTTTGGGTTCAATTTTGGGAATTTTGGGTTCAATTGGGGAATTTTTGGGTGTTTTTGGCTGTTTTTTGGGTTAAATTTGGGATTTTCGGGTGTTTTTGGGTTAATTTCGGGTGTTTTTGGGTTCAGTTCGGGTGGTTTTGGGTTAAGTTCGGGTGTTTTTGGCTGTTTTTTGGGTTAAATTTGGGATTTTCGGGTGTTTTTGGGTTCATTTCAGGTGTTTTTGGGTGTTTTCCGGGTGTTTTTGGGTTCATTTCGGGTGTTTTTGGCTGTTTTTTGGGTTAAATTTGGGATTTTCGGGTGTTTTTGGGCTGTTTCCGGCTGTTTCCGGCTGTTTTTTGACCCCTTACCTGCTCAGGTGTGACCTCCAGCTCCTCCCACAGCCTCACCTGGCCCAGGTGTGTGGGGACCCAGAAGGTGACGTTGACCTCCAGGCCCCGCCCCCCCAGCACCTTCACCTGGCCGGGAGGGGGAGGGGTGAGCTCACCTGGATGACGTCACACACACGGAGGGGGGGGGGCGGTGACGTCACTCAGGTGAGCTCACCTGGTAGCGGTGGGTGACGGGGGCGGGGGGGGGAGGGGCGGAGCCGGAAGTGACGTTCAGGTAACGGGTGGAGTCCGGGGAGCTGCGGGGACAGGTGACGTCATACAGGTGAGACGGGTGACGTCATACAGGTGAGACGGGTGACGTCATACAGGTGAGACATGGACAGGTGACGTCATACAGGTGAGACGGGTGACGTCATACAGGTGAGACATGGACAGGTGACGTCATACAGGTGAGACGGGTGACGTCATACAGGTGAGACATGGACAGGTGACGTCATACAGGTGAGACATGGACAGGTGACGTCATACAGGTGAGACGGGTGACGTCATACAGGTGAGACATGGACAGGTGACGTCATACAGGTGAGACGGGTGACGTCATACAGGTGAGACATGGACAGGTGACGTCATACAGGTGAGACATGGACAGGTGACGTCATACAGGTGAGATGGGTGACGTCATACAGGTGAGACATGGACAGGTGACGTCATACAGGTGAGACGGGTGACGTCATACAGGTGAGACATGGACAGGAGACGTCATACAGGTGAGACATGGACAGGTGACGTCATACAGGTGACGTCATACAGGTGAGATGGGTGACGTCATACAGGTGAGACATGGACAGGTGACGTCATACAGGTGAGACGGGTGACGTCATGGACGGGTGACATCATACAGGTGATGTCATACAGGTGAGACATGGACAGGTGACGTCATACAGGTGAGACGGGTGACGTCATACAGGTGACGTCACACAGGTGGGACAGATGACATCACACAGGTGAGACACAGACAGGTGACGTCATACAGGTGAGACACACAGGTGACGTCACAGATAAGACTGATGACGCCACACAGGTGTGACACTGATGACGTCACACAGGTGTAACGCAGGTGACACAGCACAGATGACGTCACACAGGTGAGGCACCAATGACGTCACACAGGTGACACACACAGGTGAGACTGATGACGTCACACAGGTGTAACACAGGTGAGACAGGTGACATCACAAAGATGACGTCACACAGGTGTAACACCAATGACATCACACCAATGACGTCACACAGGTGTAACACAGGTGACGCAGCACCGATGACGTCACACAGGTGACACACGCAGGTGAGACTGATGACGTCACACAGGTGAGGCACCGCTGACGTCACACAGGTGACACACGCAGGTGAGACTGATGACGTCACACAGGTGAGGCCGATGACGTCACACAGGTGACACACGCAGGTGAGACTGATGACGTCACACAGGTGAGGCACCGCTGACGTCACACAGGTGACACACGCAGGTGAGACTGATGACGTCACACAGGTGAGACCGCTGACGTCACACAGGTGACACACGCAGGTGAGACTGATGACGTCACACAGGTGTGGCAGTGATGGCGTCACGCTGATGACGTCACACAGATGAGGTCACACAGATGACGTCATACAGGTGACGTCACACAGGTGTAACACAGGTGAGACAGGTGGCATCGCAAAGATGACGTCACACAGGTGTAACACCGATGACATCACACCGATGACGTCACAGCGATGACGTCACACAGGTGTAACAGCGATGACGTCACTCACCTGGCCAGCACGAGGAACACCTGGTACCTGACCGGGATCGTCGCGCGTTGGCTCCGCCCACCTGAGCCCGGCACACCTGGATTGGAGCTGGGACACGCGGGGACGGGAACGTCACACCTGGGGTCACCTGATGTCACACCTGGGGACACCTGAACCTCACCTGGGGTCACCTGGGGTCACCTGGGGGTCACCTGGGGTCACCTGGGGTCACCTGGGGGTCACCTGGGGTCACCTGGGGGTCACCTGGGGACACCTGGGGGTCACCTGGGGTCACCTGGGGTCACCCCTGGAGTCACCTGGGGACACCTGAACCTCACCTGAGATCACCTGGGGGTCACCTGGGGTCACCTGGGGACACCTGGGGTCACTTGAGATCACCTGGGAACACCTGGGGTCACCTGGGGTCACCTGGGGTCACCCCTGGAGTCACCTGGGGTCACCTGGGGACACCTGGGGGTCACCTGGGGACACCTGGGGTCACCTGAGATCACCTGGGGACACCTGGGGTCACCTGGGGTCACCTGGGGTCACCCCTGGAGTCACCTGGGGTCACCTGGGGACACCTGGGGTCACGTGGGGGTCACCTGGGGGTCATTTGGGGGTCACCTGGGGTCACCTGATGTCACCCCTGAGGTCACCTGGGGATCACCTGGGGGTCATTTGGGGTCACCTGGGGTCACCTGGGGACACCTGGGGTCACACCTGAGCTCACCTGGAGACACCTGGAACTCACCTGGGGTCACCTGAGATCACCTGAGGTCACCTGGGGGCACCTGGGGTCACACCTGAGCTCACCTGGGGACACCTGGGGTTCACCTGGGGGTCACCTGGGGGTCACCTGTCCCCCTCCCCCCTCACCTGTCCCCCCCCCCACCTGTCCCCCCTCACCTGGTGACCTCGGCCGTCACCTCCAGGCTGTCCCCGAGCTCCACCTGGGGGGGAACGTCCAGAGTGACCCTGAAAAGCACCTGGGGACAGGTGAGAGGGGACAGGTGAGACAGGTGACGTCACGCGGGTGTGACAGCAATGACGTCACACAGGTGAGACATACACAGGTGACATCGCACAGGTGTGACACGGAGAGATGACGTCACACAGGTGAGACATCATGTAGATGACGTCACACAGGTAACACGGGTCACGCGGATGACGTCACACAGGTGAGACACACACAGGTGATGTCATACAGGTGAGACAGGTGACGCCGATGACGTCACACAGGTGACACCAACGACATCACACAGGTGACGTCACACAGGTGATGTCACACAGAAATGACGTCACACAGGTGACATCAACGACATCACACAGGTGACGTCACACAGGTGAGACACACACACAGATGACGTCACACAGGTGACACGGATGACGTCACACAGGTGACGTCACACAGGTGACACGCACATGGATGACATCACACAGGTGTGACACAGATGACGTCACACAGGTGAGACACACCCACAGGTGATGTCACACAGGTGAGACACACAGAGATGACGTCACACAGGTAACACAGGTGACGCCGATGACACCGATGACGTCACACAGGTGACGCCGATGACGTCACACTCACCTGGGCGCCGGCGCGCAGCACAGGTGGCTGCACCTGGCACAGCGTGAGCCGGCCCCGCCCCTCCGGAGCCTCCGAGTGACAGCGAACGGAGACGGAGCGACGGGGGGCCTGTGGGGACAGGTGACACACCTGAGACACACCTGGACACACCTGGGGACACCTGGGGACACCTGAACACACCTGGGGACACCTGGGGACACCTGAATACACCTGGGGACACCTGGGGACACCTGAACACACCTGGGGACACCTGAACACACCTGGGGACACCTGGGCACACCTGGGGGGACACCTGGGGACACCTGGGGACACCTGGGGATACACCTGGGCGCACCTGGATACACCTGAACACACCTGGGGACACCTGGGGACACACCTGGATACACCTGGGGACACCTGGAGGGGATTGGGGCAGTTTTGGGGGATTTTTTGGGGGGTTTTCGGGGTGTTTTTGGGGTGTTTTTGGGGTGTTTTCAGGGTTTTTTTTTGGGGTGTTTTTGGGGTGTTTTTGGCCCCATTTTCCGGGTGTTTTTGGCCCTGTTTTCAGGGTGTTTTCGGGGTGTTTTCGGGGTGTTTTTGGCCCCATTTTCAGGG